AAAAAAAAAAAAAAAAAAAAAGGCAGTTGGAAAGAAGGAGGAAAATAGCAAAGATATTAAGTGAAGGATGTGCAAAGGGGATAGTTCAAGGTGCTAGTAGCTTGATTTGTACGGTATGTAATGTTACTATGAGATCTGGACCAAATGAATGCTGTGATAAGTATCCTGAGGGTTTTTTGCATAAATAAATGTTGTACAAACAGTTGAATTTGCATTAGGAAAGGGCAGAGGACAAAAATGGTGAGTAAACTATTTCCTTTGAAGACAGACAAACAAATTAATCATAGAATATACTAGGTTGCTGTTCCACTTTACATCCTGGAAGTCCTGCTATGAATGCCCATTTAAAAAAACTGACAAACACTGATCTTCTTCAGATGAATTGAGAGGGGGAAAGTGTTTACCAAAGCTTTTTTGAAAGTAAAGTAAATGTCCCTGAAAGGATTGTTGAAAGATTGTCTCAAGACAACAGATGTTTGAAGGTGACTGTTCTAAATGTTTCATGTTTTTTGGAAGATCCTTCAAAATGGCCAGGGTGGGGAGTTTGGAATTTGTCTCTTGTAGCAGACTGTTTGTTTAGAGAGACATAGTTAGCCATATTTATCTAAAGTCAAGCAGAAGCCAGGGTAGATTTGCTCTTTATAGAGTAACCGAAGTCAGCATCAATACCTACATCTATATCTAGCACAAGGTTTTGAGAGCTGTGAGCTTACAAAATCAAAAACCAACAGTCTACTTCAGTTAGTTTATAAGGTGCAAATGTATCCTGCCTTGAGTTTGTTTAGAACAGGATCAGCCAATCTGCAGCACATGCTGGCCCAGGGATCCTCTGTGTGTCTGGCTGGGAGCAGACTGGGAAGGGAACAAGCAGCACATCAGCAGATAGGGGAGGGAGCAGAAAGCAGAGTAGCCAATTGAGAAGTGGATTGAAACAGCACTAGGAGAGTAGAGCTAATTTGTGGCATGCCTGTCAAAAAGGGTTGGCCCCCACATGTCATTATAAACTTTAAAATGGTGACTCAGGCTAGAAACTAGAAATACCTGATGTCTTTGGACAGAGCATTCACTTTTGTTAGCAAGTTCACATATGACAAATGCATGGGAATGAAGTCTGGAAGTGCTATCTCTGGGACTGGTACACCACATTTGCCTAAGGTGGTGATATCATATCAGAAAACTTTGTACAAGTAAATGTTAATGAAATTCTTTTTGTAATAAAATGGGACTTGACTGCCTGACTAATCAACATGATGTGGCTTCTTCAATGCCTTCAGGTACTAGGGGAAAAGCCTGTAATACCGTCTTGATAAGCTGAAGGTGGAAAAGCTGTTTTGCAGCTCTTCATTTTAATGCCAGCCACCTTTTGAGGATTGTGTGGAATATTTTAAAGAAGAGTAGGAGCAAAGCTGTAGTTCATTGATTAAGGATGTGAATCAGATTTGATTAAGGATGTGGTCTCACAGGAGCCATCAAAATATACACAGCTATTTCAGCACAGAAGCATTTGGTCTAAAAATAATGTCAGCTCTTACTGTTTATGAAGAAACAAATTGGAGCACATAAAAGGACAAATGATTTTTCTAGCTGTGAAAGCTGGATGGACTTGTACAGTTAAACAGCTGAATGTGTTTTAGCCACAAAACACTTGCTGAAAGCTGTAGGAAAATCAAAACGTACATGCATAGAGCTGCTTACTTCTGGGTTAACCTGCCACCCCTTTTTCAGCATGTGCTAAGTGTTTCCCAGTCAAACCAAACTTCTTGCCTTGTATCAAAACATATTCTGGATGCTATCCTTATGTTTGAAGACAATTCAGTAGTAAAAGTCAAATTAAGTGGCTTCATTGTGCAACTTCCAATATCAAGTGCTTACATATTGCCAAAATTTTATGGTGACTCGAAACCAGTTTTTGAAAGCATTTTTTTACTGCTTTAGGCAGCCTATTACTGTCTTAGTATTGCAGATGTGTTAATATTTTATAAAGATGTCTTGTGAGTTAACAGACACGGAATCAAGGACAACCATCTCGATGTACAACATGTTTGAAAACCAAGGAAAACTAATTGCAAGTACAAATCCCTGCTTTTTTATTTAACAGCTAAACCTTTCAGTAGCTAAACAGTTTAATTGTACATGTATAGCACTGATTGTGTTAACAGCTTTATTACTTAAAAGCTCCTTCATACGTTGAAATGTAATGAAAATTTGGTTGTGCCTTCCCCTGGCCTCCCCCATCAGCTTTGCTGTGTGTACTAAAACCTACAGAGCCAAAATAACATCTTAATTTATAGCTGCCCAGAACTAATAGGGAGAAGGGAATGGAGTACAGTAGATAATACAACCCAAGACTCTGCTGCTCTTGGCTAATCTTGGACCAGAGGGGGAACAGTGCTATTCCTCTCCAGCTTCACTTGGCATCCTATTCTACAACCTGTCTTGTCTGCTTCCCTCCTCTTCTAGCAGA